ATTTATGATGGCTTGTCTTCAGCTGCCTTGATGTATATTTATTATCATTGTGTATCTTTATTATTAATGTCTGGCTGTATTGAGTTTATAATCTTACCTTAGCTATCTAGAGTGCTGTGGCAAGATGGGCAGCCATATAAATGGATTTAAACAAACAAACAAACAAACCAGCTGTTGGAAACAGCTGTAGGCACTCTTGGTTTTTGCCAGGGAGAATCAGTTGTGCCCTGTGAGTGGCAAAACAAAAGACAATAAAGAAGGCTGAGTAAAAGGGCTGGCAGATAAGGAGTCAGGAGTCTGTTACATTGGGCATTGTCACGGGGCATTTGATTTTATGAAGGGCTTGCAGGATCAACTGGAGCCAACAAGAAGGGAATTTCGTACTTAAATCTAGCAGTTGAGATGCAACCCGTGGGGTGGGTTATCTGAAAATACAGGGCACAGATGCACTGTCAGTTCTGTCTGTGAAAGTCCCTTGTGTGATTGCTGAGTGTGGAACCTCAATGGAAGGTCAATCTAGGCAATTCAATGGACAAATCATTGTCCATATGGGATGAGGTGTGCAATTGCCTCTTCCCCAACAGCACTCCCTCCCTGTTATCACTTTCAACCTTCTGTTACCCAAGATGTGAAATTATGTTTGAAAAATAAAGGGCAATGGGAGAGTGTTGACACTGGGACATCTCCCTTCCCTTGTTAATCAGAAAACAGCTGGAGGCATCTGGCACAACTGGTATCTTGTGGTGGAATGAATCATGGGCCCTCTACAGAAAGCAACACACTACTTAAGTCAAGAATCATGATTTCTTTCAGGTACAGCCCTGGAGAAGATCTGGGACACTTTAGCTTAGGGATCTGCACTACCTGTTGGTATCTGTTGAATTGTTCTGAAGATGCCTTTATCCTGCTGCCCAAATGGATCCCTTCTTGCGTCTCGCTTAGATGGCTCCATGGCCCTGACCACCATCTGCTTCTTGTGTGTGATGAAGCTACATGGGCTGCTTTACAGGAGCTTGCACTGGTAGTCATTGACACAGATACCTAATGTGGAATGGAGTGCAACCTTTTTAACATCAGTGGCATTGGTCCACTGAATGCAGTGCTTGCATTAACCTCTATTGTTTAACATCTATGTGAAGCTGTTGGGGGACGACATCCATTGGTTTGGTCATCCAACTGTATATTTCCATCCCATGCCACCTTGAGGAAGTGGCAGAAATCCTGATGTCTGGAGGCTTTTGTGATCTGAATAGGAAGAAACAAGCAAAGGCTTAATCCCTGCAAGAAGGAGGTGCTGTTTGTGCAGAAATCATTTGGCACCTTACTTGTCCCAGCAGTAATTGTGGGAAGTGTTCCCTTGAAGAAGGTCAGTGATCTAGGGGTCATCCTAGAAATGGCTATTGCTGGATAGGCAGGTGGAGGCTGGGGATAGGGGGATCTGTCCCCAGCTTTGACTGGTGTTCCAGCTGCAGACCTTCCTGGAACATTATGGCCTGACAGTGATTACCTGCTTTGTGAAGTGCACTTTACACGGGTCTGCCTTTGAAGACTACACAGAAGATGAATGTGGCATCCTATTTATTAACTGGTATTAATGTTAGTATTTAATAAATAGTATTTAAACTGATTTAAACAGAATAATACCTGTCTTGGAGGAGCTTCATTAGTCCAATTCAAGGTGCTGTAAAACAGTGCCTCCAACTCCTAGCCATCATAGACAATCTCAGAAGGATACCATAGTTGATGTTATTGAAGGCTTCTAAGAAGTCTAAAAGGTCCAGGAGAAGCACACTGTCTACATCCGTTTCTGGCACAGATCATGCACTAGGGTGAACCCTGGCTGAAACGAGTATGTGTCGTAAGAAAAGGGAACAAATGAAAGTATGGATTTATTTTGCTCAATCTCCATGTAAAAAACATCTTTATTAGATGTTGCACTGGGGTAGAAAGTTGGTCATTTGATTTTAGTGACATAATCTAGAAATAGAAAGTCTCTTGCAACATGCCCTAAAAGAAGAGGGATAAGAGGACAGATTATTTTCTAGAAGATAGCAGAGCTTTAGTCAGCTGTATAACTGATTTTCACTTCAGTCCCTTCCATTGTCCAATAGAGTACTTAACATGTGATCCAAGCCATTGCTGGTTCTCATTGATCATTAAACAATTGGCTTCAAGTCTGTACAGTTGAGCTGCAGAAGATGCATGTCCCTGAGAAGAGCCTGAAGCTTTTGCAGTGAGGGAGTCTGCTGCCCTGAGCCACTTGGTCTTTACTCCTACGTGATGTTGTAGTTGGTCTGAAGTAACTGGGACACTGGGTGGAGAGTTGCTTAGAATATGTCTCAGAATCTTTTCAGTATCAGAAATCTTGCTGCAGATTCCTTAGTAAGAGGTTCTTTGTCCTGCAGAGAGGATATTGGAAAAGCACTGTCTATCCAGGAACAGATAGCCTGGAGCTTCCAGAAGTTTTGGCCACATCCTTGTGCTCTCCATTTGTCTGTGACTGAGGCTGATGGGTACTGTAATCCAAAAATGTAGAGTGCACCAAATTCACTATCTCTGTTGTAAAGTATACAGAATCAGCCCAAGCGGGTGCTTATTAAGAGGGGGAGTGAGAAAAATAGCAGAGCAATTTATATCAGTATTAGGGAATGGGGCTGTCCTGCCACCATTTGCTGCTGGTCCTCTTCCAGCCATCCAAACATTAGCATGGATATCTGTCCTGAACAAGCCAAGAATTGCATTCATGAGACTGGGATTCTCAATCACTTGGCAGACAATGGCTCGATCACAAAGAAGCCTTACATGTGAGTGGACGTTTCTCCTGTACAGAAGCCACATCAATAGGTAGATGGTTGTGACTGGACCAGCAATGTCCCTGATGCCAGGCCAAGAGTACAGCACAGTTGGATTCCCCAGTAAATGTGTTGTATTGCCATTCATGAATTTTAGTTGTGAATGGGATTCATATGGATGCAAGTTCACAGCATGGAAAAGTGGGCATTCTCATGGAACAGGAGAGGAGGGAGAAATACAAAGGTTGAACTGGGAGCACAAAATATTTGGAGGGCTGCGTGGGACAAACTTATTTATTTGATCAGAAATGGCATAATGTTCATTTTGGAAATAAATATACTTCAGGGTCTTGTGGCCATCAACCCAGAATGATCATTCTTATAATGAGGTTCTCTCCTTTCTTAAAACTTCTTCTTTTAACATAACGTTGCAGTTATGAAATGGTAAGATGAATATTTATTCTACCTCTCAATTATTCAGAGGAGCAACTGATTATAAACAGTTAAATTTTTATTTAGTAGTAACATTGTATGAACAGATAGCATATAACATACATTTTTCTTTTCAGAATCACATCAATGAACTCCTCTGGACTTATTTACAGAGCAAGGGCTACCAATGTCCACCTTCTTTGTTGTTTTATGTGTACAGGTTATCTGCTTTTAGTTTCCCTTTTTCTATTCTGTGCCCCATCAGCTGAATTTTCTGTTAACCTCCCTCTCTAAGTTCCCTTAGCTCTCTGTCTTCCTGCCTTATAACGAAGTGGCCAGTTAACCTTTACTTGTTTTAGCAGAATGCAAGTAATCTACCCTTTCATCACAGGCTCCTGTTATTGTTCATTCTGAAATTATGACCCCCAGTCCTGGGGACTGAGATGCTATGAATTCTAAACTTGGGTCTTAGGACATGACTTAGATTCTGTGGCTTGGGAAAAAAACCCCATGAAATATAAGCTAAGCTTCCATTTCAGTTCTGTTTTCTTGGCAATCGATATTGTTTTCTCCCTAGTGTCTGAACAGCATTTCTATTATACCTATTATCTCTGTTAATAAACCACCCATTTGTTTTGACAAAAACTACCGTTTCTGTGTGGCTTCACATACTGGGATGATCAAAGTATTCTGTGTATCTTGATTCCACAGAAAATAACAAATCCTAAAATATTTCTGATAGATCCCAAACAGTTCAGAGATCTGGAAGATCAGACTGATGGTGTCTAAGGAAAAAGGAAATTGCTCTAAAGTGATTAGTATTAGCATCCTGATTGTATCTGATGAGCATCAAAAGAAGGAGTGGTTTCTCCAGTTTGTTTAAGGAAGCGGTTGAACTTCTTGAGGGCCCAAGATACAGAAGCAACCACCATCACACCTTGAGGGATATCAGCTGCCAGATTTCATGTTGGTTCCCCTCTGATTAGTGTCCCTCCCAGACTTGCTATTGAATTCTGGAGATTGCTATATTCTTTGATTTCCAGCACCATTTCTCTCCTCTTCTTCACCCCCAGTCTCAAAAAAATCAGATAGTTGCTCCAAAGTATATTATAAAATTACAAAAGCTGCTGGATCACATCAAAATCCTTTCTAGTCCCATGTTTTGCTTCTCAGTGATCAGTTAGGTGCCCCTGGGAAGTGCACAGTAAACATGCCCTCTGACTTTCTAAAGACTGTAGTGTTCTTTGTCTCTTGTGTAGCTATATAATTTCATTCCTCTCTGGATTGCTATATCCATCTCTCTTTTATGCTGGAGTGAATTGTCCTCTGATGTGATGAAAGTAGCCAAGAAAACTTTATCAGGCAGGACAGGGGCTCTCCAGAAGGAAGTCAGTCTGTCTGTCTGTCTGTCTGTCTGTCTCTCTCTCTCTCCTTTATTATCTGCTTTTTTAAAAGGAGAAAGTGGGGGAGGAAAAAAAGAACAAACGTTTCTTGATTATAGCCTCCATCATCCTTGACCGTTAGTCATATTGGCTGAGGCTGATGGGAATTAGAATCCAGCAATATTTGGAGCATCCCAAATTCTTCTTTCCTGATGAAACAGAGATGTAAACAGAGTGAAGAATGGATTAGGATTAGAATAGCTGAAGGGAAATTTCAGTAGTATTGCTACAGACAAAGGCAAATTTTCCCACTCCTGCTAACCGTACTAATATGTGGACTCTTTGTTGACATCCTCATGATATTGGTTCCCTTTGAACTGTCCTTTCTCCACAGGTCTACACACGCTATGGGAAATGCTACACATTCAATGGTGACCGAAACAAACCACGCGTGACTCGCCAGAGTGGGATGGGGAACGGGCTGGAGATCATGTTGGACATCCAACAGGAGGAATATCTGCCCATCTGGAGAGAAACCAGTAAGAGCTTGCATGATACCAGGAAGAGACCAAAGAGATATGATTTGATTACACTGTTAGTATTAGTCCAGAGGCCGATCCCTGTCCTGACTCCCTGGTACTATTTTTTCCCCTTCTATGCAAGACAGATATTGCTTCCAGTTCCCAAAGCCCAGAAATATTGATTAAATGACTATCTGCAGTAGGCTGGAAGTAACTAAGATTCACAAACGTGTTACTTTTAATAGTAAAAATTCTGTAGCAACTTTCTCCACCTTGTTGTCCTCCAGATGTGTTGGGAGTTAAAGACCCAAGTTCCCAAAGTTAGGAAAGCTGTTGTACATCGTACTCAGTACCTGAATACCAAAAATATTGCTACTGTCCAAATGGTTCAGTTATCACTACATACTGTGTTTTTTAAACAAGGTAGGGAACATATGTAAACCACAGCTTTTAGAATTCTTTCTAATCCCTTAATAATAAATGTGATCTGGGTCATGTGACTGGGAGGATGGCGGGAGTCTTAGAAAGAGGAGCTGGCAACTCCTTTCCAACATTTGGTTGGGTTGAAAATAATACAAAGATTAATTGTCAGGATTACGAGAGTGCATATGCCATCATGTCAGACTCATGAAAAAATAAAGCGCTTATATGTACCAATTCTAGAGATCCTGGCAGCGTACCTGTGATGTTTTTAGAAGTTGTAATATATAGCAATTATAAAATCTATATGAATGCTTTTATTATTTGATAACTAATGAATCCCCTTAACAAGGCAAGAAACAACACAGTCATAAGGGCAGAAAAGATAGAGGAATGTGCCTACAAAGGGTCAGATGAATGAATATATTCCATTGATGTCTAGCCCCCCTGCCCGAAAAATCCTAACAACAGCACCACTACTTCTTGTTACAGATGAGACATCATTTGAAGCTGGAATTCGGGTACAGATCCACAGCCAGGATGAGCCACCCTACATTCATCAGTTGGGATTTGGAGTCTCCCCTGGTTTCCAGACCTTTGTTTCCTGCCAGGAGCAACGGGTGAGAGCCAAGGGAGAAAGTAGAAGTCCCTCTAGCTTGAGGAAGTGTGAATCAGGACATTATTTGGGAGAATCTGAGAATGGTGGGAGGCATGCGAACAGAGACCCAGAAAGAATGCCTTTTCTGCCATAGCACCTGGACACCATTTGGAACACCATTTCCCCCAAGCTTATATTGGCCCTGACCTGGCTGGCTTTTTGCAAAGCCTTGAAGACTTGGATGTGTTCCCTGGCATGGGGTCAGATTGTTATTTGGAGCCCAGGAGGTTCTTGTTTATCTGTGGCAGATTGGCTTTTACCTTGGTTGTTATTATATGTATTGTGATTTTATGTTATTTATATTATGCTTTAAAATGTTATTAGCCACCCAGAATTGCCAAGGTGAGATAGGAAGCCAACTAAATAGGAAGGAAGGAAGGAAGGAAGGAAGGAAGGAAGGAAGGAAGGAAGGAAGGAAGGAAGGAAGGAAGGAAGGAAGGATAAATTAGTCTTCCACAAGCAGGTCCTTTCCCCAATGTGTTTGTTTCAATTCCAAGCTGACTGGGAACTTTGGAATTGTAGTCCTGCACATCTGGAATGTATTAGACTGGAGAAAGCTGTGATGTAGCATCATGTTTCTCAAATGATGCTCGTCCCTTGAGTCAGCTATGAGCTGTTATAGGTGAGACCAGTGTCTGGACTATAATAACATTCTGGTGAAAACATTCTCAAAGGATGTGATCTTGAATGTCATCTTAACAGAAATATAATACCCTAGGACTTCATAGGACTCTTATTTGATTAGTTAGACTAGCTGGAGGAGAGGAAGGATTGTCAATAAAAAGCATAGTCAGAGTTTCATTGAACCGAGATCCCTCCCAGCCAATTCCAGGCCACATCCAGAAGCAGGTGCCAGATGTATACTACTACAGTGAATTCTACTCAGGAGATCCTACTGTGAGTCAAGCCTGGATATTTTAATCAGGCTCTTGCTTGCAGAGGAGTTAAATAAAGCAATAACTCTTCTAGCTGATAGCCAAAAAGACAGCAGCAGAACACATTTTCAGGTTATTCAGTAAGTTTTGCAGTTTTCCAACTCTACTGCAATTTGAAAGAAGACACTGAAATACCTGCCAATTTGTTAAGGTGGCCATTGTTGTTTTCCTTTTCTAACCTCTTCTACAATGGGCCAATATTTGTAAGATACTTAAATTGGTTTAATGGTTATTCAGTTTCTCCAGGGAACTGTGGCAGTTGTAGTGCTATGGGACAGGAACTTCTAAAAAAGAAAGCCCAACATTTCACAGAACCACAGTTCCCAGGATTCTTTGAAGAAACCATGAGAGTTAAAATGATACAAAAGAAATGTAATTTTGTAGCGTAACTATGTTCCACGAAAAAAGAAACAGGCAGCGTTATTTAAGATTCTGGAGCTGGTGCCAAAATAACTCTGCAGACATTTGAGTCCCAGGAAAAACCTGAGAAGGTAAATACAGTTCCTATAATCAGAGAAAGCTGTGCAGGTCTTAAAAATATCTGACTCAAAAGCCATTCCAAGAAATATCCTTGAATTAAGCATTATTACCTTAATTGCACTGAACAGGGACAGTCTAATGTCTCTGTTCCTACTCCACCCCATTGCAATACACTTTCCAATTAAATGTCATTAATGCCACCTAGCTTTCTTTGAATTATAGCTGAACCTCAGCATAAGGAAGGGGTCAATTTAAAAATATTCAAACATATCAGTTAATTGGTGTATACAGATGAACGGTCCATCTTCCCTTCAGCCAGGTGGCATTAAAGAAAATATTCATAGCGAAAGAGAAGTCAAAATTTGTACTCTGAAGTTTCATTTGTTTGCATTCTGTCAAACTCTGTTGGAATCAGCTTGATTGGTCATTTCACTTCACATCACATCACTTTTCATCACATTATTTTCTCATTAGATTCTGATCTTGGGGTTAGCTACATTCTAGTCCTCTACCATTTTAGAAACAATGCTCATCCATAGAAGTTCTTTGTGGGAGTTGGGAGTCCCACAGTCACTACCTCTAAGTTCAACCTTGCTGTTGGGAGAATAAAATTGGAAGAAGAAGTACTCTGCCATTACCTCTTGGAGGAGAGATGGGGTTTAAATCCAATGACAAATTAATATTACAAGATGCTGCATGTGTCTCTCATGCTGGATGTTATTCAAAGCCTAATCCTGCCGGATGGGGAGGACAAAGGGTACTGAAGCTGTGATAATAAAGACTGTTTGTGTTTTAAAGTAGAGATTTCCTCAGCTCAGATTCTTAGCTGCTACAATGTGTAATAATTTAGAAAAGCAAATACATGAGTCTGAGATGTTAAAGAACCCCATAAAATCAGAGGCAACTGTAAAACCTTCTAGCCTTAAGAATGAAATTCATGGTTAGTACTTCAGGTTTAGATTGGAGAAAAATGGGTAAAAGTTATTTACAACAGAGGCTGCTGGCTAGTGTGCAAGGAGAGGCCTCGAAAAAGGGTTTTAGCAGGAAAATATACTCCTCGGGCTAGAGCCATGGCCCAAAGGAGAGCATTTTTTGTACAACTGTCCAGTTCTGGAATTTCTTTCCTCTTCATTCATGGATTTTTAGGTTTCCAGCACCAGCTTCAGATATACTTGTTCACCTTCTACTTTTTGTTAAACCGCTGCTATGATGCCTTTCTGGCCTAGTATTGTCCACGTTTTCAAGTTTTTCAAGTTTTTTTTTTTTTAATGTTTGGTAGATTTTTCCTTTTCTTTTTTAAATTGCTTTAAACTAGTTATGTACTTTATTGCATCCTGCTTTGGACTGTTTTTAATGATGGAAAAGTGGGATAGAAAGTCGTATTACAAAAGTTCATAAATAAGGAGAGGCTTTTCAGATAGCGTCATTGGCCAACACAGCTTCTCTTGATGTTGAGCTTGCTCCCCTTCTCCTGCAGCTGACATATCTGCCCCAGCCTTGGGGGAGCTGCCGGGCCAGCGTGAAGGAAGAACAGATCCTGCCTGGCTATGAGAGCTACAGCATTGCTGCTTGCCGGCTGTTGTGTGAGAAAGAGGCTGTGGTGCAAAATTGCCAGTGTCGCATGGTGCATATGCCAGGTAAGGCAACCCTTCTCAGCCCTCTGCCTTAGTTGCCTGGAGTATCCACTACAGGAACGTGTTTGCCATGGACCCGTGGGGCTAACCTTGGCTTGGCTCACATCTGTGCCAGTGTTTTGAATGTCACAATTTGACACTCAGACACAAAGCTGGTGAAACTTTTCCCTCCATTTGTTTCCAGTTCCAGAAAACTTTCACCTGATCAATATCTGTTTGTCAGTAATATTAGTATTAATAAAGATACAGGAATCCACACAGATATGAACAGAACATCTTTATACCAGTCTTGCTCAGCCAGGTACTCTCTGACTATGTTGAATCACAGCTCCCATTATCCCAAGAGCCATCCTTTTGGGAAAGGACAAGACTGGAGGGGACTGCTTTGCACCCTCCCTGTCCTCATACTTTATTGTATATCCTGTGTTGCAGGGAAAAAAATAATACCTGACCCAGCCCCCTTACTTGTTCTACAAGCCCCTAGGCACTATGAATCAACTAACTGCAGTTTAGAGTTTTGCCCTGAGTCCAATCTAGTGGGTCTGATATGCGATTTTTTTTCTCCATAGTGATTATTATCTAGAATTTGGGCATCCTAAGTGGGAAACTATACTGTCTCATATCCTGGGATACGTAGGGCTGGCAACAATCCCACTTGGGCCATCCTTCAATAGCTCTTATGCCTCCTTCACTCCCTCATTTTCTACAGGATCTCTCATTGTCAGCATTGGCTGCAATGCAATCCACCCCACCAAATGCTGGAATACTCTAGATTCCTGCTGGTTTCTGTTACCATGGAAAGTTATCACCTCTCTGACCCATATGTACTCTCTCTGACCCATATTTCAAAACCCAGAGGGAAGCAGTGCTATTGGCTTACACACAGATCTCACCAGTCCTTGGATTCTATAAACTAAAATTTTCACCCAGGTTATTGCTCTGAATAATATTATTTGGCTCAGAGAATTGTTTAACTATGACATCAGGCGAATCTTTCCAAACTTGATGCCCTGCATACATGCTGAACTACAATACCCATCATCCACCCCCAGAAAGTCAATTGTCATGCTGACTTATTGGTAGTGGTGGTAAGTCCAACATGCACAGAGCACCAAGTGGAGAAAGCAGTGTTACACTGCCTTCCTGTGGTTTCTAGCAAGCAGATGCATTTGTACCAAAGCAGCAGGGTGAAAGATACATTCATCTACATCCACATAGCAAAATAACTAGACACCCTCTCCCTGTCCCATCCCCAGGAATAACAGGAGCTCAGATTTGGGTAAAGAGATCTAAGGAGGTATCTCTAGCTAACTACTATCCAGGTTCTTCTCTTTCAGGCAATGAGACCATCTGTTCACCCAACGTCTACATTGAATGTGCTGACCACACACTAGGTAGGTACTTTTGAAGGTATCTAACAGACCATGAAGGGACCAGTAAGGAAAGGATCTAGACAGCCAATCATAGCAAAATAGAGCTTTAGTTGCTTTTGTGGGAGCAGCTGGTTGGTGTCTTAAGGCAGGTTTCAGCCCACAGACTCTTGACTGGCCAACTAAAGTTCTCTCCTCCTTCTCTGAAGGCAAGTATGCAGCAAGAGAAAGGAAGAATAGGGAGGGAAAGAGATAGATGGATTGATGTGTATGGAAGAAAAAAAGAGAATCATACAGATGATAAAATATAAGGACTGGAGATTGGAGTCCAAACCTCAGCCCATTGCAGGAATCCACTACTGCACCATCCCCAATAGATGGCTATCCAGTCGGTTTAAACAACTCCAGCAAAGAAGAGTGCACCACCTTCCAAGGAAATCTGTTCCATTTTTGAACGACTATGTTAGGAATTTTTTTTCTTGATATCCAACTGAATTCCATATCCTTATAATGGATTCTTGCCCTGTCTTCTGGAAATTGTGCCTTACATTTTTCAACCTGAGATGCAGAACCTGAGACACAGAACATTATATTTCCCTCTGTTAAATTTCATCCTATTCATTTCAGCCCTACTGCTCAAGCCTATTTAAGATCTTCTTGTATTTTCTCTTTCATCTAAAGTATCAGACACGCCTTCGAGCTTTGTGTCATCTACAGACTCCTTCATCCCTTCAACTCCTTCATCCAAGTCATTGATAAAAAGGTAGAGCAGTAGCAGGCCCAGGAGAGAACTTACAGCATGCCACTCATCACCTTCCATCTTGATGGAGTCATTAATGTATACAGGCTGCTCTACCAAAAACAGAGATCAGATTAACTTGGGGTGACTTGTTCTTGATAAACCCATGCACCGCATTGTTTCTAAATGCTGACAAACGGACTGCTTAATAATCTGTTCTAGAGTTTTGCCTGGTATCATGGTCAAGCTGATTGGTCTGTAGTTACCCAGGTCCTCTTTTGCCCCCTTTTTTTTGAAGACAGAACAACATTTATTCTTCTTCAGTCCTCTGGTATAATGCCCATCTTCCATGATTTCTCAAAAATCATAGAAGGAGGCTGCAGAACAACATCTGTGAGCTCCTTTAAGCTTCCTGGCTATACTTAATCTGGCCCTGGGGACTAAAACACATCCATAGCAGCCAGACAGTCCTTAACAATCTTGCTGCTTTTCTCAATTTTTCTGTTTTGGTCCAATGGAACATAGATCCCCTTTAGGGATCAGACTGAAGCAAAGAAAGAACTAAGGAGCTTTGCCTCTGCTCATCGCCTCTAACCATCCTACCATCCTCTCCTAGCAGTGAGCCCACCCCTTCCCTTTTCTTCCTCTTAGTTGGCTTGGCTAAAAAGCCCTTTTTGTGGCTTTCCTTGCAAGTTTAAGTTTCTTTTACTCTTGAGCATTTTTTACTTTCTGCAAATATTAGCTACTTGGTAGTATACCTCCTCAATAATTTCACTCCATTTCCATTTCCTATACACATTCTTTTAAATAGCTCACTCAAAAGCCTCCTGTATATCTATTGTGGTTTCCTAAACTATTCTCTCCCTACTTTTTCTTCTCGTCTGAACGGTGTGTGATTGTGCCTCTAGTATCTTATTTTTAAGAAGTTCCCAATCTTCCTGTGTTCCTATGACCGAAGGATTTCTGTCTGCGGGAACTCCTCTATGCTTATTGAAGTTAGCTCTCCTCAAGTCAAATATGCATGTATGACTATGTATATGTGATATACTTCCTTTTTGGGGAAGAAGGGTAATTCTTGAAGCCCAAGACAGTGTGGTCACTTCCCTCCAAGATCCTGCTGCTTTTATCTCTTCAACCAGTTCTTTGGTATTGTTTAGGGCCAGACTTAGAAGAGCTGTTCTCCTTGTCTCTACTTCAACCTCCTGGAAAATAAGGCAGTCAGCAGAACTGCTGAGGAATTTGGAGTCTTAGCTGGGCTTATTTTCCATCAGATGTCTGGGTAGTTGAAGTCTCCTGTTATTATTACATCTCTCCTCCTGGTCCAGGAGGGCTTTATTCAGATTTTTAGTCTGGTTTGGCAATCTATAGCACACCCCGACAATGGTATCCTTGTTGATTCTTCTCCTTTGTATTCTTAGCCAGATGTTCTTGCTGAACCCTTAGGCTGAAATTCATGGATTGCTACAGATGTATGCACTTCATCACATATATTGCTACCTCCCCTTTTGTCAGGTCTATTCATTTTGTATAAGTCATGGCCTTTGATCTTTGCAATCCACTTGTGAGTTTCATCCTACCAGGTTTCAGTAATTCCTAAGACATATTCACCTTAGACAGAGAAAGAAGAGGTGATAAATATGAATGATGGAGGATATATTGCTGTATGAATGGGAATGTGTGAATGGATGTGTATACCCAGCGTCTATGGGCTATGTATTTCTTTCTTTTGTTTTACCTAATGCACTTTTGGCATGTGGCATCTTGAGTGAGAAATGCCCCTTCCCCATCCATTCTTCACTCTAAGAAATAGGAATAGTTTATATGATGACTTCACAAAATTCTCAGGGTAGCTGAAATTACAACTTTTGAGCTTGGCTTTAATGAGCTTTGTAGAAAGGAAGAAAATAGCTGCCAGCCTGGGGAAAGTGCATGTGTGTGATGCAGTGAGCTGAATTTACAAGTGCTGAGAATTCCTCAAACTATCCTAGGACAGCCATGTGAGAACTGTTGATCAGTGGCAATTCTGAAGGGGATCTAGACCAAGAGCAGACAATGTGTTTGCCCCCTCCCCCAGGAATGCATGTGGCAATGCGTGGAAGCTGCTATGAACAAAGAGAGTGGTGGTTATTTATTTGTTATCTCCTTAAACGACACGTACTGCAATATTGTGACCTTTGGCAGCTTACAAAATAAGAAACATCCATACATCTGTGGTTATGGCCAGAGCTACCATCTCTCCCATCTCAACTTAAAGAAGGACGCACAACCTTCTGCTTCCCTTTTTTATCTCATGAGACACATACACAGAGTAACATCAAACACTTGTTTGGCAGAATGGCCAGAGCACAAAATAGCTAGGATATAAAGCTCATGGGAATAATTCTTCCTGGGTGCCCTGCCCCCCCGCTTCACAAACGTGCTATCCCAGATCTGCTGAGCAACCAAGAATGATTGGAGTAGGGTACATTTGGTAGGCTGCAGTCAAAATCCCTGAGAATTGTATATGATCTGAAGCCCTGGGGATGTTCACCAGTGATCTAGTCCATATGTTGTAGCCTTATAGATAGCAATTATCTATGCTACATGATATGTTATTCTAAAGCAGGCCCATCTTTTCCATACATGCCTTTTCACTCATAGATACAGCCATTGAAGATTCCCAGGAACGCTGTATCTGTCCCACGCCCTGTAACTTGACTCGCTACGGCAAGGAGATTTCCATGGTGCGCATTCCCAACAAGGGCTCAGCCCGGTACCTTGCTCGCAAATACAACCGCAATGAGACCTATATCCGGTGAGTATCATGTTGCTGAGGAGAATTAGAAGAATTCAGACAGTGAGCAAACTTCCTAGAGTGTGGTGGTGACACAGAACTAAAGCAAATAAGGCCTGGAGGGCCTATGTTGAGGGATGTGTGGAAAAACTCAGTTTGTAAATCTTCTTTCTCCTGCTTCCATTATTCCCACTGTCCTAAGGGAGAACTTCTTGGTGCTGGATATCTTCTTTGAAGCACTGAATTATGAGGCAATTGAGCAGAAGAAGGCATATAATCTGGCAGGGCTTCTGGGTGAGTGAGCATACATAGCTACTTCTCTGCCATTCCCCCTGTGTGAGAGCTGCAACCCTGGAAGCAAAGCAAGTTCTGAGGAGGCAAGGATTGTGTGAGCAGACGAAAAAGGTGAGTGAGCAAGCCTGGCTTTGACTCAAGATGGCTTAGACTGAGGACTATTACTAGGCCCATGTCAGGGTCTTATAGCAACTTGTGGCACCTTAGTGGCCCTTTCTGTTACCTGCCTGCTCTTGAGCTAAGAGCTGCAAGAAGGCCTTCTAGCCTCCATAACTGGTGGTACCTTTCCCAGCATTCCTTCTTTTAGAAAACCTCCACAATGACAGAGAAAAGGGCACCTAGATCAGGCTTCCAGAGTTCTCCACAAGGCACCACCTATTCAAGAACTGTGGTGCTTGTTGCTCACCTAGCAGGATGAGCACCTATCCCTCCTTCATCTTCTCCTTCTGGAGGAGACAGAGAGACCCCTGGAGTGCTCCAAAAGAAAAGGAGAGAGCCATGCTTGCCATCCAGCCTTCAGGATCCACCACCCAGTCCTTCCCAGCCATCAATATGCTCAACCCCTGGCTGGTTACTTAGTGCCTCTTCCTTGTCTTCTCCTTTGTCACTAGGGGACATTGGAGGCCAGATGGGCCTCTTCATTGGGGCCAGCGTCCTAACCGTCTTGGAAATCCTGGACTACATCTGTGAGGTAAGAGCCCTCTCAGAAATAGAGTAGGCTGGGCTGGAAGGAGTAGGGAGTTGGACTGGAGAAGGGGGAAATTTTCTGCCCTGCACTAAATACAATTCTGTCATTAAATGATGAGTCCCCACCTGTTTGAGAGTCGTGCTGTCCTCAGATTGTGAAATAATAAGTGGTGAAGGCTCCAGGCTAGAAAGCAGGAGACGGTGAGTTCTAGGCATGACAGCTGGCTGGGTGTCTTTGGGCCAGTCCCTCTCTCGCAGCCCAACTCACCTCACAGGGTGGTTGTTGTGGGGAAAATAGGAGGAGGAAGGAGTATTA